ACTAAGGTGAGTTTTTTTCTGGGAATGCTGACACTCAGATACTCATCTCATCATCTCTGGCCACTGTGTAAATTCTTTCTTGGCTCTCCACAGCTTTTGGAGAAACTTCAAACCCTTTCCTTCAGCATATAAAGCGTTTTATAAACCAGCCTCTGACTTACTTCTCTAGATTCATCTATTGCCTCCTCTTCTCTTGCACCCTGCCTCCCCCCCCAAAAAAATCTGTTTCAGGATCTCTTTTTAGTAAAACTTTCTGAAAATGAAACTTTCCCAGGCCTTGATAGCTTTGTGCATTGCAGTTCATTGCTTAGAACTGCTGTGACTTGCTTGCCTTTCTCCCTACCTGCCTTGTAGCTAGGTTTCCTTATCTCTCTAGACTTGGTCAAGTATCACCTCCTCTCAGTGTATGTCCTAAGAGATGCAGAGTTTGGTGTGATCATTTATGCTCCCACAGCTTGAACTTCAGAGTCTATCATAGCACTCGTCACACTGCACTGTAATTACTGGTTTTGTTATCTGTCCCTAGAAAAACACTGTGACCTTCTAGAGAGCAGGGACTGTGTCTTAGTGACCAGAATAGAGTAATAGGAACAGTATGTACTTTGGAGTCTGATGGACTTTCACTGGCTCAGACATTTACCAGATGCTGAGCTATAAGCAAGTCTGTCTACCATTACCATTTGAGTTACCATTGGCCTATTAATGACTTTAAATTTTTTTCCAATTTTTAAGTTTTTTTTGCATTAGATTAATTCCATCATTTTATTCCAACAGATTCTATGATACATTATGGTACATTAACTCTTTTTATCCAGCATTGGATCATCAGCAAATTTGAATGGTATACTGACTTTATTCTACCAAAGGCATTAATAATTTTTAATGAAAATGAAGGATTTAGAATATGGTGGTAGGAAAATGATAGCAGCATATTTTTTATATTTTCTCAAAACTCCTCTTGAGAACCAAGCAGAACAATATATACCAAAATTAAAAATTCTATGAAGAACATCTTCAAAACAAACAGGTGACAGGACTTCATGGTGCTCTGATTATTTATAACTGCTAAAAATCTACCTTCAAAGTTTAGTGGCACAAAATAGCGACCACTTCATTGTATGTCATAATTTTGTAAATTACAAATTTGAGTACTGCTGAGTTTTCTGTACCATGAGGTACCAAGAAAATCCACTTAGCAGTATTCAGTTAGTCTATGGACTGGTTTAGGAGGGTCCAAATGACTTCATTCTTGGCAGGGATGCCTGAAAGTTTGCCTTAGCTAGAACTTTGGGTAGAAAACCTACACATAGCCTTTCCATTGTGGTGGTTCAGGACTCCATGAGAGAGTGTTCCAGCAAATAATGTGGAAACTTCATGGTCTTTTACAACCTAATCTCAGATGTCACAGAGCATTACTCTCCCATACTCTACACCCTCCCATATTAGAGGAGAGAGAGCATAGACCTTACCTCGGGATGGAAGCAATTGCAAGGGATTTGCTGCTATGTTTTAAAACCACTGTAATATTTTTATGGCCACTAATTATTTACGTTCCTTCTGAATGCAGAGTACCCTCCCTCCTTCCCAAGATCTTCCCCCACCACCCCACCAAGTCTCATCCCGTTATGGCATTAGCTCAGATTTGAGGTCAAGAATCTTGTCATATAGATTAAGTTTAGGTGCTAATGAGGTTCCTCAGATTTAGTCCCTCTCAATCTGGAGAATATGGTGGTAGGAAACTTTCAATGTTTCCTCTCAATCTGAAGACCACTGAACCAAAGACACAAGTTATCTGAACCTATCTACCCCTGGCCACATGTACATACCCAATATACAGTGATAAGACAGACAAAAGTTAATTACTACAGAAACTCCTGAGAAAGGGGGGAACCCAGACACACAGAAGTCACTGAAATCAGCTGGACACATTACCACTTACTTTACTGGGGTTCAATCTTGTTCCTTAGTAAAGATTTTCTGTGGTTTTAACTCTGTCCTCTGGACTCTTAGTTCTGCCCTGTAATTCTGTGGCTATTGTTTACATATTCCTTCCATTTTCATGTTTTTGAAACAGAGTACTTTCTCAGTCCGCCTGCTACATGATGAAATCTGTAGATCCAAAGGCCTTTTCTCTTCATTTTTCTTTTGCTTTTCATTTTATCACATTTTCATCAGTTTCAATTTAAGTTGGTACAATTTCTTTAAACACTACATATGTTGAAATATATTTATAATCCACTTTTTAAAAAAGATTTTATTTATATATGAGAGAGAGGGGGCCCACAGGAGCAGGGGAGTAGCAGAGGGAGAGGGAGAAGCAGACTCCCTGCTGAGAGGGAGCCTGATGCGGGACTCGATCCCAGGACCCTGGGATCATGACCTGAGCAGGAGGCAGACACTTAACCAACTGACCCACCCAGATGCCCCTTTAATCCACTTTTTGTCAGACAAAAGCTATACCTGTGAATTTGTGAGATATATCTTCTATCTTGAGCTCTCTGTGAAGCTGCTTTTGGACAATACTCTTACGAGTCTTGGAAGCAGTATTGTTTACCCCAGAAGGACTAAGAGATAGCCTTAAGAATCTTAGATGTTGTTTTGTTTCACTAAGTTGGTATGTGAGGTGCTGCTTTACATCTTTCTGAGATATTAACAAAGTGTCTTAAAGGCACATCCCAGAGGCCAGTGTTTCCCTTGGAGGAGAAGAGGGACACTTGGCAATATTTAGAAAAATGTTTGGTTTTCACAAATGAGGAGGTGCTACGGGCATCTAATGGGTAGAAATCAAAGATTCTGCTGAACATTCCACAATGCACAGGATGGCCCACCTCTCACCAATAGATAATTATTCATCCTAAAATGTCATTAGCAGGAAGGTTGAGAAGCACTACTCTAAAGTCACTGATTTTTTTTTTTTTAGGACATTTTGCTGGAATGAAAGACTGTCCTAGAGCTTTTGCATATCCTCCAAATGCTAATTCAAAATCCATAAACCCACAATTTTTAGTGAAATAGGTATCTTTTCAAGTTTCTCCTCACCTTGGCCATTATCTGTTGCTTTCACAGTTTTGAATATTGTTCAAGTTTTGTAATTATCTCAATGCTTAAACTGCCAGACCTCTTTATGCCATCATTATTGCAAATTTTGCCTTTTTGTTTCCCTAAGCCACTTTTTTTCAATAAATGATAATCAAGTATTTTATGAAATCTTAGATTTTAATCTGAAGAATGACTAGGTCCCTACAAGATTTTCACAGTTTATTCAGGGTCCATATTTACCCAAGTGTAGGGTTTAAAATACTTTACTAACAGATGAAATTTCTCATCTTTTTTTTTTCCTTTGTCCATTGTGTATTAATGACAAAAATACTTCCAATGATTAGGTTTAAATATATTCAGGAGAGAGAAATATTTAAATAAGATTAAAATTTAAAAATTTATCTCTATTAAAGACTTTGTACATAGTGTACATTACATAGGGTAAATACCCCCATGAGATTAATGATGTAAAAAGAATCAGGTATGATAATGTCCCAATTATAAAATTATATATCTGATTATATGTCACTTCATGATCCCTTACCTGAAGTCACTGGGACCAGATGTGTTTAAAAGTTCTGTAGGTTTTAGATATTAGAAGGGTAATGTCATATTACTTAACACTTCAAGAAGTGCTTGGGGTAACATACCATAATCAAATCCACTAATATTTATAACTGTAAAACACATAAACATTACGTTAATGGAACGAATGATAAGTATGTACAAATTCATGTCAGGACTTACCAGGATTTGTCACAGGAAATACAGGATTGTGTGGTTTCAATGAATTTTTATTTTTCTTGTAATACTTTTAATTATTTTTTAATGTTTTTAATTAGATGTATTATTTAGGTGATACTAAAAAATGCTTTTTAAGGGGTGCCTGGGTGGCACAGTCAATTAAGCATCTGACTCTTGGCTTCAGCTCAGGTCATAAGATTGAGCCCCATGTCAGGCACTGCACTCAGTGTGGAGTCTGCTTGGGATTCTTTCTCCCCCTGCCTCTGCCCCTCCCCCCCACTGCTCTCTCTCTCAAATAAATATATAAATCTTTAAAAAAATTTAAGTGTTTTATAAAAAATTTATGTTGTCATTAAGACCTCTATTAAATGGATTTTGCATTTAGATTTAACCATTTTTATTTTATTTTAGTTTTAAAGATTTTATTTGTCAGAGAGCGTGCAAGCACAAGTAGGGTGAGCATCAGGCAGAGGGTGAAGCAGGCTCCTGGCTGAGCAGGGAGCTCGATGTGGAACCTGATCCCAGGATCTCGGGATCATGACCTGAGCCGAAGGCAGACACTTAACTGCGCCATTCAGGCGTCCCTAAATTTCACCATTTTTAAATTTAATTGCATGTTATTTAGCTAAATTAAGATTACATAGCAACAGATGATTGCCTTGTTGAAATCCTGCTTTAATGAATGAATGATGGTGGTTGAATCATGATTTACACATCAAAGCAGCAGGTAAGCATGGCTGGTCATTGGCGTGCTCTACTTAATGGTACAGAACATTTATTTAAAAGGTGTATGCTATTGAGGTGCTTGAAAGAGATTTGCTTCTTGAATGTCTTCCAGTCTTGTTGATTCTATCCTTTTGCTAGTTGAGTCTGTTTTCCCATGCATAATGCACGGTTTATTTTCCTTTAGTCTTTGCGTGACTATAAATAACAAATTAATTAAGTCTTTATAAATGAGATTTGACAGTGCCTGCTAACTAATGCATGTTTTCTCATTTCCATAAACTTTTGCTAAGAACTGATAGGTTTTAGTTCTCTCTTCCTTATTCAACTTGGTATCCCAGTTAATTCCTCAGTGCCCTTGGACTTGATTCTCATCCTTCTCTATTTCCCTGGATGACTCATCTGCATTCTTTTGAAGTTGGTAAAGGCCTTACACATGAAAGAAATAGGCAGGGTTAGGAAATAGGCAGGGTTCGTTTAGGTTCCATAGGGTTCTGGAAGAATCACAGCGTGGAATTTCATGGTTGGAGATTTTGGTGTAGAAGAGGAGAGGTATGGATATCTTTAGATGAGTTGTCTCCAAATGATAATCTATCTGGACATGTAAAAAATGTATCTGTAACTTTGGTATTTTGTTTGTATTTGATATATGGTTAATAGGATGAAAATGAAAAGTTTAAGCATTTATAAAAAATATATTGTTTTTTTCTCTGCTTGCTATGTAATTACAGGGAAATAGAAGAATATGACTTTCCTTTTAGAAGTTTAGTAGATGTTTTATCTCATAAATCAGTGTAGGTTTCCATGACTGTATCTTTTGCCTCATTGTGGATAGTAACCTTTTCACATGCATATACATGTGTGTGCTATGTTTTGGAAAACAGATTTCTTTAACAGTGAGCTGAGAATTGGAAAATTATATGCCTATCCTCTTTAATTTTGCCTTGTATAGAAAATTAGTGGAAGCAGAATCTGTCTTTTCCAGCTAGCTTAATGGTTGTTAATAAATAATCTTGAAGAAATAGGAGATTGTTGACACAGGTGTTTTGAGAAGTCAAGTCTTGAGTTAGTTATTTTGTATATAAGATAGATATGATAGTCATTTTATATATATGGTAGATATGATAGTTATCCAATATTTTATATATTATAAAATTTAAATTAAATATATATATCTACTTGTATATCTTATCTTAAGGTTGAATTTCTTACTAAGACTGTATACCAAGCAAAACAAGAAGTTTTCTTTGTAACAGCAAAAGATTTGCTTTAATGGTTATGAAGATTGTTGACTTTTTTATTAAGTAAATAAGTAAATAAAGCGATGGATAATGTTAATTAAGTAGATGTTGCAAATCCATTCACAATATATATATACATCAAATCACCATGATGCATACTTTAATTTAATTTTTTATTTTTTTAGAAAGAGAGAGCGTGTGTGTGTGTGTATGAGCAGGGGAGGGGCAGAGAGAGAGGAAGAGAGAAAATACCAAGCAGGCTCCACACTCAGCACAGAGGCCAAGACAGGGCTCAATCTCACAATCCTGAGATCATGACCTGAGCCAAAATCAAGAGTTGGATGCTTATTACCCCAAAGATACAAATGTAGTGATCTGAAGGGGCACATGCACCCCGGTGTTTATAGCAGCAACGTCCACAATAGCCAAACTATGGAAAGAGCCTAGGTGTCCATCAACAGATGAATGGATAAAGAAGATGTGGTATATATATATTTATATATACACACACACACAATGGAATATTATGCAGCCATCAGAAGAATGAAATCTTGCTATTTGCAATGACCTGGATGGAACTAGAGGGTATTAAGCTAAGCGAAATAAGTCAATCAGAGAAAGACAAGTATCATATGATCTCAATAATATGAGGAATTTGAGAAACAAGACAGAGGATCATAGGGGAACCACCCAGGTGCCCCCACCATGGTACAGTCTTTAAATATCTTACAATTTTGTCAATTATACATCAACAAAGCTAAAAAAAATAAAGTGGAAAAAGAAAACAAAACAAAAAAAGGTTTATTTTATTTTATTTTTTTTAAGATTTTATTTTTTATTTATTTGAGAGAGAGAGAGAATGAGAGACAGAGAGAGAGAGCATGAGAGAGGGGACGGTCAGAGGAAGAAGCAGACTCCCCGCCGAGCAGGGAGCCCGATGCGGGACTCGATCCCAGGACTCCGGGATCATGACCTGAGCCGAAGGCAGTCGCTTAACCGACTGAGCCACCCAGGCGCCCCCAAAAAAGGTTTATTTTAAAAAACTATGCTTACTCAAATTTATAAACTTTTCTAGCTTTCTTTTATTCACTAACCATGGGTTATAATTCATCATTAATGGCCATCACTAATACAGTTCTAATTATCTTAACTAGTTAACAAAGACTATGCATATCTTCACAAAATTAAAATGTCACTATAACAGATTAACTTTAAAACCAGTGCAGAATCTCACATTTTTCTCTGCAGAACTTAAATACCTGTCTTAGAGGAATTCGGGCACTGTGTGGTTCATCTCATCCACTGCCGTTCTGGTCATGGCTCTTCCTAGCACCTTAACAGTGTGTCTGTTGGATGGAATATGCATGCTTTCTACTGTTGTTATATAAAATTCACTGATACTTACTCTAACAGCTCTATTTAGGAGAGGGAAACAATTTAGGTACACAGATAATACTATCTGTTCCCACAAAAGCAGGCATAGCTGAGAGAAATCTTTTCAGAGTTCTGATCATTATTTCCCTTAGTGGGCTAACAGGCAGGATTGTGGGCAGGGAGTGGTTGATCAGGTGGACTCAATGGTCCCAATGTGACTTGTTCTCCTCACTGGAATCACCCAAATTCTAGATAATGTTTTATAGTAAACAACATGATTTGCGTTCAAATTTATAAAAAGCATGTTTCAGATTGTTATTTATTACTGAAGAAACCAGTAGGATGGTAAATCCCATTCAAAAGAAAAGTTGTTAGACATTACTATAGTCAGTAGAGTAAATAATGCTAGAATGAGTTTGCTAGATAAGATATAAAACTGGTTAATGTCCTACAGAGCAATAAAATTATAACCTTTATTGTCTTTTCTATCAGGTGGAAATCATTTGCCTCTCTAGCAGCCAAACTCATTTATAACTTATTAGTCTTCTATAAGTCTAACTTTATGTAGTCTTGGCCAGATAAATATTCACCAATGATTCAACCAATTGTACATGAAATCATTAGGTAATATTAGGCTGGGCCTATTTGACTATGTATCATTGTAATATTGAAACCACACCAATTTTAGCCCTATTTTCAAGTTTCAGATAATATTTTTTTAACAATTATGATTTCTTGTAAACTGTAACCCCCATTTAAAAGTTTTTGGAGGCAGAACTAGATTTTCCAGAGAACCACCAAATTCTGATTTTCTGTGGTATCATCATAGATTGATACATATAATTATTTATAGGGTCTTTGAAATAACTTTTATTATTTTTTATTTTTTTAAAGATTTTATTTATTTGCAAGAGAGAGAAAGAGAAAGAGAATGAGTGGGCTGGGGGGAGGGGCAGAGGGAGAAGACTCCCCACTTAGTGCCCATTTTGGGGCTTGATCCCAGGACCCTGAGATCATGACCTGAGCTGAAGACACTTAACTGACTGAACCACCCATTCACCCCTGAAATAACTTTTAAAAAAAACTGGCACATTTGTTAATTTGGGATTTACTTATTTTATATTGGCAATAGGTAGAGTTATAGAAAATTGCATAAATTTTAGTTTAATTTTGAACTTCACAATTTGAGTAACTTTAGAAGCTGGGATATTTTTCTGGGGCCTAGATTACAGTGTTAGAGATGGTCAAGTTCAAGGAAAGCTCCCTCGCTCTCTCTCTCTCTCTCTGAAAATGGATCATATTCTGGGAGTTACATTAGAAAGATAGACTGCTTAGGTTGAAAACAATACTAATAAAGAAAAGATAGTGTTACACTTCCACCACAGGTATCTATTTTTCTAGCTATTTTTTCAGTTTGTAAGCTTTCAAAAATATGATGAAATCTGGGCAAATCCATAGCACATGCATTAGTATTCTATTCAGGAAATTTTAGAGTTTTAAAAATATATACATATAATTATGGGCTATATTTTGCTAGATAATTTTGCGGCATGTTTACTATGGCTGTGGTTTCAAGACCACATTCCAGCTTTGGAATGAACAAGTCATGGGAATAAAAGGCACAGCATAAGGAGTATAGTCAATGATGTTGTAATAGTGTTGTATTGGGACAGATGGTGGCCACACCTGTGGTGAGCCTTGTTGAATCACTGTGTTGTACACCTGAAACTTATATAACATCGTGTGTCAACTATACTCAAATTAAAAAAAAAAAAAAGGCCAAAAGAGAGCTTAAATTCCAGTGTGGCACACAATAAAGAATGGTATCATTGAAAATAGAGGGAAATTGAGTGACAGTAGTTTTAGGAAGGAGTCGTTAGACATGTTGAATTAGAAGTATTGTTTTGGAGGAGAAGGAGGTCGTAGAGATAACCCAGTTCAAAGGCTTCATAGTATGAATGAATAAACTGAAACTCATTTTAGGCTTAGAGGCCCAGTTGCAGATAAATATTCGGAAGTCATCAGCAGGTGGAGATAAAGCTTTGGATATGAATGAAATCACAGAGAGAAACTGTGTAGATGGAGAGTAAAAAGAGAAGTAAGGCAGACCTTTGGTAAATATCTACATTTTTTAGATAGAGAGTAAGAAACCAGGAAAGAGAGAGAAGACAAGGAGTGGTAACACGTAGGATGAGGAAAAGGGCAGAGTTGTGCCTTAGAAGCGTTGAGTATTGTTGAGCATTAAGTATCTTTGTTTCGCAAGGTTGGAGTAAAGGCCATTGACTTTTATTCATTAACTCATTCAGCTGATTTCTCACTCAAAAAGTATTTATTGAATTCTTTATAATGTGCCTAGTCCTCTGGTAGGTATTTAAGATATGATAATAAGCAAAAGGAAAGGTATGATCCATGTCCCTACATGGCTTACAATCTTGTAGAAGAGAAAAACAGACATATATCAACTAATCGCACACATAAGTATTTTGCAAGTGTAATAAGTGCTAAGAATCAATGATTCAGGTCACTATGGTGTTAGAGGATCTTGGTGTATGTGTAAGGAGCTGGGTGGTGGAGGACAGAGATTCAAGGAAGGTCTTCATTTAGGTTATGATCTTTTAACTGTGAGCTCAAGGATGAGTCTCAGTTTGGAAGGAAAGAGATAGGATGGTAACCTTAGAGATTATCACAATATTTTTTGTTTTTGCTTTTTGTTTTATTTTTAGGTGGAAGAATCAAACACAGGGGCCTTCACCTCATTTGTAAGGACCTTTGAACTATTAAATTCTGCATTTTCCCAGACTAGACCATTATGAGCCCCTTTTTGGGGACCCCAGTCACATATATTTACGTAATTATTATGTGGTTGTAACCATAAGAGAATCTCACTTGGGATTGGTATAAGGGACAGGAAATATTCGCTTAAGTATGTAACAGCCC